TGATGAGGGCCATGGTGAGGACCGTGCGGGCCATGATGAGGCGGGTGGTGTCCAAATATGCTATCGTAGAATCTGTGAGCCGAGTGTCGCACTTCCTCACCAACAGTGTGCAGAACACACTGCACGCCATCACACTGCTTGATCTTCTTCATTGTAGAGGGTGGTGGGGGAGGATACTGCTTGCCCAGCTTCTTAGCAACAGATGCCTCCCTCTCCTTCACTAGTTCCTCAAGCTGAAGAATCTGCTTGTGCAAAGCATTCAGTTCCATAAGCTCAACCTGAAGTTCCTCCTCGGGGTCCTGGAACTCGCGGTCGGGGTACTCCCAGATGGGGGGTGATGTTGAGGTGGATTTGTCGCCAGAGGAGGGCTCCTTGTCCTTGCTGAAAGGCATCGACAGACTCCAGACATAGGCGGCGTTTCCAACATCGGAGATTCGGACTGGTGCGGTCTGCTTGAAAGTCATCCAGAAGGAAGATTCCTCTGTAAGAGCCATGTCGTCGAGAGCCTTGACATTGAAGCGCATAGACTGGCCGAAGGGGAATTCTTTGGGACCAATACATTCGAAATCCCAGTCTGCTGAAATAGTGGTCTCATTGTTGACGAGGAAAGATCCGACACCGCGACCCTTGGCGTCTTGCTTGAGGGGTTCGCCATTGAGGGTGATGCTGGCGGGACCACAGACTTCTTCTGATTCCTCCACATCGAATCGTAGTGTCTATTACATGTTAGCTCATGGCATTGTAATCATGTCACAAAGACGGACCAGAGAATAGGATTCGGATTGGCTCAAGGGGAGCTTGACTGTGACAAAGGCTGAGGGTGTGACATCGAGAGCTGAGGGGAGAAATCCCATGGGAGGAGGTGGCGGCGGCGGAGGAGGAGGAGGATGATGAGGTCCATGGGCCAACACCAACGTCGGTGCTAGCACCATGGCAGCCTGAGCAAGGCCGCGCATAGTGAGGTATGAAAGTTGAGAATATCTCTTGTTAGGTATCGTAGGACACTGAGCAGTATCAACTGCAAAAACCCCTCTTACACGGCAGAGCAGGGGATATAACGCAGGCAGCCACGCTACAAAGAAGCTTAAGGCAGAATGATACGAAAATGAGACAAGGAGGGAAAGGGTCGATAATTCAAAGAAGGGAAAAAAGAATTAAGAGCAAATACGAAACGAGCTGAGTCGAGGTGATGACATGCCCGTGGAAATGAGAGCGAAAAAGCCCACGCGACTAGACGGGATGTGGGAGCCTGGCCACGCGGATGCCTCCCAAAGCAGGCCCTGTAATGGCCCTGTAGCGCCCCAAGGCTTAGGCACTGAAACAGCTATGGAGCCCTGTTGAGTCTAGCCTGGCTGACGACCTTATCTTGAAAGGGTCGGGCGACGCAATCAATCAACCCACACTTTAAGCGAGTGGCCAATCACTAACCATGAGCTGACGAGTCCATCCTTCAGCCCCCAGCCGAGTCTTTTGGTGTCGTGAGTGGGGCATAACGGCATCGGCAATTCCCTTGCCTTGATTGTCTTGGCAATATTTGAATATGGCAATGCCCTCAATATTTTCGAGACACCCAATAAATCATTACCATGATGTTTCCTTCCTCTTGCTTGTTCTTACGGACAACTTGGATAGGTCATTCATCAGACACATATCCCAAGAAATTCAAACAAAAACAACATCACAGAACAGCCAAGAAGCATTATAATACTCTTTTTAGTATGCATATATCGCGATGAGCTCTATTTATCTTCTAGCATGCATTCAAAACTCACAGCCTGAATATCAAACAATATGGTCTTTGGTATGTACATGCCTTGCTAGATATCTGCTGACGTGCTAAACCAATGCTACCCCTGAATATGCTTCACGTCTCATTCAGTCGTCAACCAGAACACTTTTATACAAACAGACCACTGCCTCATTCATATCAGGAAGTCACTCAAAACCTGCACTCGAGTCCTTGCTACCTCAGAGTCTTCGCCCATAACCTGCATGATCTGGATCATGCGTGCTGTTGACATGTTAGCAGGGAGGCCAGGAACAACAAAGGCATCAAGACTCACTGATATCAGCTTTTGCCCTGACAAGGAGAGGATCTCTTGCCATCATATCTGCACCACCTGGTTCTCGAGCAGCCTCCTTCAGGACATTTCCGATACACAACGCCTCCAAGAAAGCTCGGTGATTGAACACCCACCAAACACGTGCTTCTATCTCAAGAAGGGTGAAAAGAAGGAAGAAGGCTGTAATGGCGTCGTGTGCTGCCTCCAATGTACCACGAACGTTGACAGGAACATCGGGGCTCTCGGAAGCATGAACAAGCATCAAGTTATGGAAGTAATTGCTCGTCAAGAACAGGGTCTGACGAACCACCCTCTTATTAGTTTTTGCGAGCGCCGTGATACTATCAGGATCCCAAGACCGGAAGACATCAGGGAATGAACGGTAAACAGCTCGGAAGTCAGCAATCAACTTAGACTTATGCCTTGCCGTAGTGCAGATTGGTAGGTCTAATGATCTTGGCGAGCAAATTGTCTCCTGAACCAAGTTGGCCAAAGTCCAAGAGCCTCGGATATATGCCGTATCTGTTGGGTCGCTATTTGCAATCGAGGAGCCATCGTCGAGTAGGTCTTCAACAGAAACATCTGTATGTGTGGCAGACGGTGGCAGAGAGAGTAAGACGGTCAAGAAAGTATCTTGGAGAAGTACCGCTTGCCAGACCTTACGCCGCTGCTGCTTTTCGAACAAGGTGGCATTTGGAGTCACTGAAAGAAATCAGTATAAGAAGAGAGCAAATAAAGAAATCAGTCACCCACCAATATTTGGATCCCTATGGAGACCCATAGCATAAGCTTGCCGAATGAGAATACCTGCAAACGCCCATCCATCTGAGGCATGGTTGTCGTTGATAAGAAAGTAAACTAGCAATACCATAGCCTGGATTGACCTTAACGATGCACTGCTGAGATATGAAGCGATACGGAGAGCTTGGTTGCTAGCCGAAGCATAGAACTCTGCTGTCTGCCTTCGCTCCTGCGGGGAGGTAGTCGATGTCACAAACTGAGTTCCCAGGGCCAGCATGACAAAGATTAATGCAATGAAGGACGGATCTGTATCGGTCTTTTCTTGCTGATTCATCTGCCAGAAGTGTTCGTAGTCCGCATAGAAAGTCTGGCGATGTATCATGGGATACACAGGGTCAACACATTCGAAGTATCGGCTTAGTAGTATATCGGCTTGAATCTTGTCTGGAAGCACTGAGATAACCTCAGGCAAGCCCCCTTCACAGGTCCAGTAGTTGGCAAATGGGTGCTCAGACCCGATACCAAAAACATTGCTTGCAGAAGGCAAGGAATAAGGGACGTTGGATAGAAGGCCGATGGAGAGTGCAACAGCGCCACGCGAGGTTGCCCTGGGATCATTCGACATACCCCTATCTGCGATATTTGGAATGGGAGATTTTCCACTAGAACCAGACTTCTTCTTTGGGGGTTTCGTCATACGGCGGCCATTGGCGGCTGACCTGGTGGTCTCTCTACTTGATTGTTAAACCAGAACATCTAATTACTCAGTCGGGAGGCTTCATACTCGAGAAGGTTTGCAACATGGGCATATCGGCATTCAGTTTGTCGTTTTATGCCTGGCTAAAAGTTAGTATACAACCAGCCAAACATCTAGGTGCACTTACAGGCAAGACAATGAGGTCGGCCTCTGTCACACTTTATATATGTTAGTAATCTATCCAGCGAATTAAATTGGCTCTCGCGCAACAGGAGGAAAGGAGCGGGAGTGATTGGGCATGTTCAGGCGATCTGGGATGATCAAATTCCATACTGAGCCATAATGTCGGGGTAAAGTGGGCTCATCTCATATGGGGGAACATGAGTAGAAATGAGTGACATGACATGCAGGCAGCACGGCACAACATGAGAAAATGCATTGGATATAAATGTCGCACCTTGGTCTTGCGCTCTACACATTCATGGCATGAAAGAGTTGGTTTGTTGCGCTTTTGCTTCTTCCTTGGAGGCTCCTCTCCATCCACAGGTGTCGGCGCGTCTTGGTCATCCGCGTCAGGGAGATAATCGCCGGTAGGATGCCTTGATGTCGTCGAAGCTGATGCTGAGGGTAGACGGTGGGAGATAGATGCAGGGGATGTTGAGGCCGATCCTGGTGTCAAAGCCGAGGATGGTGGATGAGTTCCGGGAAGAGGGAGAGTTGGATGCGAGGCAACGGGACCGGGACTATACGTAGACGTAGAATGTTGAGGCGGCAGATGCGAGGGCGAAGGATTTGAGAGAGATGGTGGTGGTTGGTGATGAGTGTGACGCGGAAGCGCCCGCTGTGATAGATCCATTGACGATGATACAAAGTTCACCAAAATATTCGGTCCAGTGAATGAGCGCCTTTTTTGAGGATATTACAGGCGCGTCAATTAGACGTTGCAGAGTGGGAGCTGGATCTGAAAGAAAATGGGGCTGAGATCTGGGATTTACCTGGACCGAAAAGAAGTTCGATTGGATCCAGAGCTGGAGCTGGAGCTGGGACTGGAGCTTTAGCTATTGCTGGAGCTGGAGCTCTGATAGCTCTGGGCTGGGGATAACTTTAGGTTCAGGTGGAAGACCCCGGGAATAATGACTGGAATCCCAATCTGAGCTGATACGGGTTGCTGATTTAAACTGACGCGGAAATGATTTTATGTCGCCGGAACTCGGCTGATGGCAGTGGGCGGCGCTGGAAATAACGGCCGGATATGGGCAGCCGCGGCAGGGCAGCGGCAGCGGTAGCGGCAGTAGCTGGGGTAGAGCGACCAGACGGCAGAGAGTTCGTTAGCCCTGGGCAATGTAAAAGCATTAAGAACAGCCGCAACGGTAGGTAGATAACGCGTGATAAAGACGATTGGCGGGAGCAGTCAGTGACGGATATAGTGAGAGCAGGCACTGTATTCGCGTCGGTAGGGCCAGAGCGTAAAAGAGCCTCTTAAAGTGAAGTATGTATCAATCCAAGGGAATAACAAGGTCGAAATGGAACCGAAAAAAAAAGAGAGAGAGACCCCGGAAAAGAAAAGGGAATTGCGAAATGGGACAGTAGAGGGAAAAAGAGTCAAAAATAAGAGGAGTGATGCCCTGGGCGTGGGAAGAAAAAAGGCGGGGGCGGAGCAAGTAACAAAGTGGGAATGGCAACAGCACTCTAGAAAGTGCGTTTTTACTAGTACTGTAGGTACCTTTCCACCGGGAGACCCCTAACTTACCATGCCTCTAATGGCAGTTGTATGCGTTAGGTACGGATTTTGCGCCCGCTGGCGCGTGGTTTTTTGTCTTCCGTACCTGCCCAAGATCAAGGGTAATAACAAATTTCATCCATCCATCTCAGAAATCGCGGCTGTTTTTCTTCATCTTATGTACATGTATCTTTTTCGCGTACACCCGTCTGTCTGATCGATGTTAGACCCTTCTAGGGGTATCCATGCACTCTACGACTCAGGCCAGACTTACTCAGACGACGCCCTACACATTGTCAAAGTGAAGACTATCACGAACTATCAGACTACCTTAACTGCGGATAGCTACGGATAGCTACCGAACATTGACTTGGCTTCATTTCATTTCATTTCGTTATGCTTATTGGCTTTTTGCACATAAGTTATAAGACTCAGTAAGACTCTGGCGTTCTTCCGACCACACTCGATCGCCAAGAGCAACCACCATTGGACGCCAGATCTACAACTTTCGATACAAATCGAAATCACTTCTGACAGGTGCAAATGATTGCAGCAATTTGTTGACGCCCAATTAGTGCGAATTGGAAACTACCGAACTCCCCTAATGCAACTAGCCCGCAGCCATGTTCCGTCGAAGCCTATACCTAGACTCCGTTTATTACTCGATGCAAAGGGGTAAATAACATCAGACTATGAGTCCAGGTTTCCTTCATCCTCTGACATGTCTGTCTGATC